ACAGCATTCTGCACAAACAGAAAAATATCCACCATCCTAAGAAACCCTCAAGACAGAATCAAGTTAGAAAACCAAGGAGTGTACAAAATCTCATGCACTGCCTGTCCCAACACATACATCAGACAAACCAACAGAAGAATTAGTGCACACATTGAAGAACACAAGAACTCAATCAAAAAAGAAGAAGTGACCTCTTCCCTGGTCCAGCACCTCAAAGCCACAGGACATGAGATTGACTTTAAAAATACCAGAACTATCGCCAAAACTCAACATTTCAACAACAGAATAATCAGAGAAGCCATAGAGATAGAAAAACGGCCACACAGCATGAATAAACGAGATGATACCTCCCGCCTACCAACCATTTGGAAACCCGCCCTCATTAATATACGAGTACCTAACATGAAGAATAACATCAGACCCACACCCACGAAGGCCACACAAGATGCTACCACCACACTTGCACATAGAAAGCAGATTCACGCCCACACAAATGATGAGACATGACCATGGACCAGAAGCCATACCGCAGCTGCATCACTACCCGCTTCAAACCCCTCCAACCCATACACGAAGCGAACTGATGCCCAACATGAAGATGTGACATGACCATGAAGCCAACAACAGGATTACAGCTCACCAGCTCAAATCCCCCAACAACTAAGACTAACCTGAACACAGCCAAAACCCCACCTGAGCAGAACACACCCCCAGCCAATCAGAACACAGCCAAGCCCCCACCCAGTCAAGTCGCACTCCCACTGGCAGTTAAAAGAAAAAACAGCTGCAAGCTCACATTACTCCAAGAAGCACAAAGCCGAAGACACAAGCCTGAAGATGACAAATGAGATTTTGTCGAAATGTCACCAAAATCCTTCCAATTTTACGTGGGAAAAAACCCGAATAACCAAAGATAAACACACACACACACACACACACATATATATATATATATTCTTAAGTTTTCACGGGTACTTACATGTATGGTATTCAGCTTTGTTCGGGTATTTTCCCACGTCATTGTAGTTGTGCTTTTAAAGTTGTAGCAACGCATCGGCAGAATCTCATCTGCCATCACCAGGCCTCTGCACTTTGTTCATCCGTGAGTCAGACTATCACAACCATTTCAGTTTTGTTTTATTCAGAGATTGTTTCTATGCTACACAAATGTTATGGGAATCTTTGTATATCCCCCCTCTTTTTTTAATCATTTTACAATTGTTTTAGATATAATACATAACTCCCAATTTTGATTTTCTGAATCAGTGGAATATATATATATCCCACAAAATTTCATCATGCAAAAGCAAACATTGTTTAATTTGTTACCCGAAACTTTTTAAAGCTGTTTACTTGCAAGACAGACTCATTTATAACTCCCATCTCTTTTATCTATGAATTGCTGCGTAGTTGAGAGATAAAGGAATTTTATCTAAATCATTTTACAATTGTTTTAGATATAATACATAACTCCCAATTTTCTGAATGCACTAGGAAATAATTAGATTCACCAAAAGATTTAGAGTAGGTAGAATAAGAAGATGTGATTTTGGTTAACTCTATCAAGAAAAAGGAAAAAAAAGAGGGGGGATATACAAAGATTCCCATAACATTTGTGCAGCATAGAAACAATCTCTGAGTGAAACAAGAATTCAGTGTAACTCATTATAGAGAGTATGACCACAGACTCTTGATCTGCTGAGTGTGCTGTTTAAGTATTTTGTTCTTTCCTTATTTTCTCATGAGCTTAAATATTCCACTTGATTTGATTTCAAATTAGAGGATTCCCCTTTATTAAAAAAATGACAAATGACCACTCAGAGTAGAGGTATAGATGAAAATAACTTGGAATAGCCAAGTTAGCCATCTCTCAACTAAGATTAGGACAGCCACATTCCTTCCATCATTTTAGAAAGCAATAAGACTAACTTTTCCAAACCCTTGGGACAAGGGGTGCAATATAATTAAAAACCCTAACACCTGGGAAGGATTACTTTTAGATAGGAGGCCAAATATGTTTTATCTTGTTGACTGTGTTTTATTGTGAGAATCCAGAGGACATAAAGATGTATCTAAATCAATAAACAAAATAAGAAAAGACAATGAGCATCTTTCATAGAAAGAATCATGGAATTGTTTCTAACTTCTTAAGAACAGGATTATGTGACCAGCAAAAAAGAAGGCAGGGGATTTCAAATGGAGGAATCAGAAATATTTATTTATTTTTATTTATTTATTTCATTTGTCAATTGCTTACAAGATAATAGGTATAAGTATAAACATAGTTATGAATACATGGATACATATAAGAAAATAAAAGAAACAATAGGACAGGGACAGTAGGCACGTTGGTGCACCGATGCATGCCACCTACAGACCTCTTAGGAAAGGGGTGAGGTCAATAGTAGTCTAAGGTTAAAGTTTTTGGGGTTTGGGGAAGAAACCACAGAGTCAGGTAGAGTATTCCAGACATTGACCACTCTGTTGCTGAAGTTGTATTTCCTGCAATCAAGTTTGGTGCGATTAACCTTGAGTTTGTATCTATTGTTTGCTCTTGTGTTTTTATGGTTGAAACTGTATTCATTGACAAGTAGGACATTGCAATGTATGATTTTATATACTATACTTAGATCGGACCAAAGTTCTAGGTTTTCTAAGTTGAGAATTTTGAGTCTGGTGGCATAAGGTATTCTGCAATGAGTAGAGTAGTGGAGAACTGTTCTTGTGAAATATTTCTGGATTTTCTCAACTGTGTTAATATCAGATACGTAATGTGGGTTCCAGACTGATGAGCGGTATTTGAGTATTGGTCCAACAAATGTTTTGTATGCTCTAGTTAGTAGTATGAAATTACCAGAGAAAAAGTTACGTAGGATTAGGTTAAAAACTCTTAATTCCTTTTTGGCTATGTAGTTACAGTGGGCTCTAGCACTTCTTAGATCATCTGAGATGAGTACTCCAAGGTCCATGACAGAGTTTGGACCATCAACAAGGTCTTGACTATTCAGCTTGTATTTTATTTTCTGATTTTTTTTTGCCAATATGTAAGACAGAGCATTTTTTTTTTGTTGAAATTTGAAGTTGCCATTTGTTTGACCATTCTGATACATAGTCAAGGTTTTTTTGAAGGATAGGAGAATTATCTGTGGTGTTCAATAGCTTTACATCATCAGCAGAGAGAACACAATTGCTCTTAATATGATCACAGAGGTCATTTATGTAGAGTATAAAGAGAGTTAGTCCTAGAACACTGCCTTGAGGGACACCACTGTTGACTTGTACAGAATTTGATAGGACACTCCCAATTTTGACCATTTGTTGTCTGTTTGACAGGAATGCTTCTATCCAGTTATGCAATTGTCCAGAGATACCATTAGATTTTAGTTTTAGGAGTAGTTTGTTGTGTACCACTGAATCAAAGGCTTTAGAGAAGTCTATGTAGATTGCATCTATTGTTTTCCCTGATCGAGTTGTGTAGTCCATATGTTTTTGCAGTGTAAGAGTTGCAGATTACAGGATAGTTTTTTTCTGAAACCAAATTGTTTATTAGAGAGTAGGTTGTTTGTCGCGAAGTAGAGGATAATGGATTGGTTAATAATTGAT